GCTTGATGCCAACATGCTTCGATTCGAGAAGGAGTCAGCAGTTTTCCCAAAGATCATTGGAAGAGGGATGGCAATGGAGCCAGTGGCGCAGGAAGTCTTCAAGCAGAGGCTTCCTTTCACGAAAAAATTGTATTGTGATATGGCTGTGGCAGAGCAGGAATATGCTGTCAAACTCCAGCATTCACATCATGAATCAATGTGCTTGGAGGCTGTACGAGTTGGCGAAGGAAAACGAGGCAAAGCAGACCCAGGACGCCTGCGTGCACCTGCGCCAACGCAGGCTTAGCGACATCCCGAGACCCCTGAAGTCCACAGCAAGTCCATGCCTTCAGACTTCTAGAACAGAAGCATAGCAGCTTGGAAGTAGTAGCAGGATCCGCCGCCAAGGGAAGCAGCAGTCACCAGCGGTGATGATGTGTTGGAGGCGAGTCTTGCATGACAGCTGGACGGGTGAGCTTTGTGAAAAGGGGCTTGCGATTTTGATCCTGGCAGGGCATGCTGAACGACCTGCTCGGAGCCTTGCGCCGCGAGGCTCCCATGGATCCCCTGTCGGAGGAGAAGGCCAGCGGCCCAAAACGGCTCTGCGTCCGGGAGCCCTTTGCCCTTCGTTGCGATGCTTTCAGGTGGCCGCCATAGCAACGGCGGCGGAGGTGCAGGCGCAGGCCGCCTGCGCTGCCACGGCCGGCTCTGAGCCTGCAGAGTCCCAAGGCGACCGGGACGGGGCCACCCAAGGCAGCACCCCCCCCGAAGTGCATCGAAGATGTGATGTGAGTTGGGTGGGGATCGGGTATTTGCAGTGGTATCGGGGAGCAGGCAACAAAGCTTGAAGGCCCTGTTGACGTCTCATGCGAAGCTTGGCTGTGCACGTGGGCCTCGAACGGCCCGCTTCCGGCCGACCAGCCGGACCAAGCCAAGAGCTGCACCATCCAGCTGTAAACACAGCCATTTTCTCCGCATTCTTTTTCTTGGCCTGCAGGCCAACAACTACTTGCCGATAGATGCTTGCTGTCGAGCTTCAAGCCAAGAGGAATGTCAAGGCATCGAAATATGGAGGCGGAGACCAAGAGGTATTTTCACAATTCCNNCCGTGCCAACAGGCATCAGCTTTGCCAGCGCATCGGCTGTTTGGGGATGGTGTCCGGCTCGCCGTCCCTCAACATTGTGGTATCCTGGTTGAACCATAAGTCATGCCTTGGTGCAAGTTGAATGCGGTCAAGGGGTCGGCTGGGTTTGTTGCCTTTGCTCGTCGCTCGTCTGCGACCCTTGCTCAATGTATCGACAGTCGAATCAACTCAGCGTGGCAGTGTTGGCTCGGTGCTCGGAGCTGCCACCTGCTGCAGCACCGTCTGCTATCGGTACATCTCGGCCGTTGCTGCAGACATGCCCATGCCGGCAGGACCTGCTGACACCTTTCTTGGCCTTGTGCAGCAACCTTGTTTCCAGCGTTCCGGAATTTCTGGCGGAACTGCCGAGACATCACTCGCTGCTAGCCTGCTGACACATCGTGCTATGTGTAGCGACGGGCGATGCCAGCAAGGAGTTGGAGTGCAACACCGGCAAGGCATGACCTATCTGACTTGTTTTTGATGTTGTGATTTCCGGCAACATGTGCTCTTGTCACGCGCATTTGTAAATCGATGCATGGTGGCGAGAGAGCACAGACGGCGGCAAGGGGTGGGTCCCTGCCCTGCTTCTGCCGGCAGGCGCCAAAGTCCGAAATCAAGATCGTCCGGCTAAACTCTGCAACCTATACTTGATTTTTTCCGCCGTTCTTCCGAACACGAAAAAACGGACTGGCCAAGCTCGCAGCATGCACGCCTTTGGCGAACACTGGCCTGGAACTTGCATTGGCCTCTGTTTGCCCGATGTCGCCTCATTGGCTTCGAGGTTGGGGGTCGCTGAGATGCTGAAGCCGCCACCTTCCGTCGCCTGGTAGCCCCGACGTGCACATCCACCGTTGCGGGTGCACGGGTTCTCCGCTGGAGTGGCCTCAGCACCGCACGCCCGCGGCCACAACTGCCGCCATATGGCCCAGGGCTTTCGTAGTGCTCTGGGAGATGTGGCAGCCGTCACGGCCACGCACTGACCGGGCGAGGCCATGGTTGCCGTGCAGGATGCATGGTGACGCTGACATTCATGGGCAACGGCGAACCCATCAAGAGCAAAACATCACGGGCATACCTTAGCAGCGTGATCTCCGCGTCTGGCTCTATCACATCGGAGGTGAACCGTCGGCTAGGGATGGCCAAAGCAGATGTCGATGCATTGAACCGCGTTTGTAAGCATGTACATCTGGAAGGTGCAAAAACACGCAGACGTCTTCTCGGCCGGTGTGGTTTTCCGTTTGTTATACTCTTTACATGCAGCTTGGCATTGTAAAACAGATTTGCGCAACATTGATGCGTTTCAATACTGAATACATAGGGTGCACATGCTAGATTCAATGTGCGAGTTGCCGTACTTGGCCAAGCTGACTTATCCCGTTGCCTTCGTTCCTTCATTGCATACCGCACTCAGTTCTCATCTGCATGCGCCGCAAAATTGCGCTGCAAGAAGCTGGCATCATTCTTTGGCGCCGACAGTTGCTACTTGTGGGGCGCATCGCACACGCATGCAGCCCAGTGAGCCGCCGGCGATACCCGCTCAGCTGCTAAGAGGCCGAGATATCCAAGGCTGGGCGGCGCATGGCGGCGCGAGCATCCCAAGCATCGCTCCCGGCCCTCGCCGGGGCGCTGGTCGCCGAGCAGACACCAGACCGCATTGTCGTGAGCGCGGGCATATGGATGTCTGCAGAGGGGACATCTGGGAGATGCTTGCGCGAGACACTTCGCAGAAGCGAGCCAAACCAAGCTCTTTAGAAATCGGGCACCCGTTTCAATTTCCGGAGCAGGTCAGCTTCAGCTTCCAGGCGGTTGGGCTTTTGACGAAGTCGGCATGACCAAGGGCACGCCATAGCATCGACGAACCCACGTTGAGTCGGGGGGAAGTTGCCACTCCAGACGTCCGGGCCCAGGACGTCTATGCCACGGTTGGGACACCATGCGCGGATGCAACATTATGAAAAGCGTAAACTAATTTCCGAGCGAACGTCACAGCAGCAAGAGCTCCGCGGCTGGAAACTTTTCCTCCTTGCCCCGCGCATGCTTCTCCACCGTACCACGAGCGAGGAGTTCATCCTTGCTGCTGAACTGGCTTCGCGCGTGAACGGAAGACGTTGTTAACCCTCCTTCAAGCCAGGCTGCAACTGCAGAGCTGGAGCTACCAACGAGCACCTTCGCATCTTTTTGGACGAGCGGGTCGATTGCCAACTCCTGCACTGCGGCGCTTAGCGCTTTGCGCAAGCCTCTTACGGCCATCCACACGGGCGGGATCTTCGCCCTGCAGAAGCCGGATGGACGTGGCATTCCCGCCCTTGCTATGGGCGACGTTCGGCGGCGGCTTGTGTTGTTCCACCCTCGTGAAACCATTGTGTCCGTGGACGCAGTAGGTGTATATGATGATGTTTCTCGGCAGGCGATGCTGGCGGCGTTGCGCGCCCGCGCAGAGCTCCGGCCCTCCTTCCTCATGCTGGGCAATTTTTCGGTCCTGCCAGCACCTACACGTGTACTGATGGGCAGAAGGCCCGCCCACAAGCGGAGGGTGGCAAACAAGCAAATCCGTTGATACCCACCGCGCCATATACGTGCAGGAGCAGCTGCAGAATTGGGCAACACATACGGCATCCCCTTCCCGGAGCGGTCCAGCGCTGGCGCGGCATCCTCGCCCGCGCCTTCGCGGCGTCGCTGCTGGAGCTGCCGCTTGGTGGTGACCTTTGCGATGCAGGACAGGCGCCCGACCTCCACGAGGTCCTC